ACATTATATGACAGAAACCTCAAAGTCATTATGAAATAATAATGGATGAAGCACATGTATTAGCATGAAAAATGAATGATATACCATCGATGTAATAGAATGGGGAAACAAAAAACATTAAAATAACACAGGAAAGAATAAACACAGTGATTGACATAAGTATCCGCAAGGATATAAACTTGGGAGCAACAATTTGACCCAAGTCGTCTAGGCCTATGGCTAGACAAAATCGAGAGCAGCACGACATCCAAGACATCAGGAAGGTCGTCAAACCCGGCCAGAAAAAACAAAAGTGAAAAATGCATCCAACAATGGTTCGGCCGGCCAAAAAAGAAAAACCTGTGGAAAAATCATGTATAAACCAGGAGGGAAGGATCATCACCAGATTCACATCAGAAGGTCACCCCAGAGAATCATCAGACAGGCGGATCGGTTGACTGAGGAGGACGTGGACGTTGTGGGGTACGTGAGAGTCTCTTCCGACTTCTGCGGACTGGAGTCCAGATCTTGTTGGGGGTGGCGGATGGACGGGATGGAGTTGGTGGCAGTGGGGACACATCATCTGACAAAGGTGGAAGTCCCAGGCGCTTTAAGAAAAAATCCGCCTCATAAAGATCACGGAGCACAGCTTGAGTATTGTCCCTAGTTACGACCAGCCTAAAGGGGAACCCCCACTGGTAAGGGACACAGTGTTGGTGAAGGTGTGTGGTGATCGGCTTCAGTGCTCGCCGTTTGGCCAGGGTAATCAGGGAAAATTCGCAGAAGAGCTGGAGTCTGTCACCTTTAAATTCCAGAGATGATTTGTGGCGAACAGCTGATAATAAGGCTTCTTTGCTTTGAAAAAAATGGAAGCGAACTATGATGTCTTGTGGTCTGGTGCCTTCGACAGGTTTTGGGCCCAAGGAGCGGTGAGCTCTGTCCATTCGCCAATCTGCTTCTGGAACCAAGGGAGCAGTTGCGGTGAAGGACAGTAGGTGACGGTGTAATTGTGCATCAGCAATAGATTCGGACATACCGCATATATGGATATTTTGGTTATCCTCTTCCAGAACATGAACGTAGTGCACCAAATCATCAAACTCATTTTCCAATTTATCCGTGCGGTCTCCAATCTGAGCTATTTCCCCTCTGAGAGCCAAGGCCAGTTTTCCAATTTCAGCGGATATAGATGCGGTGATATTGCGTAAGAATATTTGCAGCTTATCATCTAACGCTGAAATTGTGAGGGAAGATGATGAAACGGCCTGCTGGGAAATCTGGGTGGAGGGAGGATGATTCCCTGATGCAGAGTAATCCACTACCCCCCCAGTTATGTTCTGGGGGTCAGAATCCTCCATCTGGGGCTGGATCAGGGCAGAGGCAGGCATGGAAGCTGAGATGCATGAGGGTGCAGTACCCTCCGTGACCACCGGGGTTCCTGGCCATACTGGAGGCCGGGGATTGCAGCCTGGACAGGAACTGCCGGAGCGGCAAGGGCCTCGAATCCTGTGGCTGCTTGGAGGGGGGCTTCCAGCGCCCTATCTTCCCCATATAGGTCCCTCCCTGGTGCCGGGCCGGGTGCCAAGTGTGTGTGACTCACCCGTATCGGATGGGAGGCAGTGGAGCGTGTCGGGTGAGTCCGTGCTGGCCGGGGATGAGTGGAGCTCAGGCTCTATACAACCGCCATCGTCCCTGGCCGCGCATGCGCCTCATCTGGGTATTTTGTGATCTCAAAACGCTCTGCAAAAATGACAAATCACACTACGTGTGTTCAAGTGTCATTCGTTTTCAATGGTACATAAATGCTGTGTGGCTCTGCTGCGATTTTTGTGCAGCAAGCCACATTACATGAAGCTTGTCCTCTAAAAATAAGCAGAAGCTTCTTTTGGGCATTACCATCGTGCAATGTGGTTTGCCATGAATTATCGCGAGACAATCACAGTATAACCGCACTGCATATAGATGACATTTAAAAAGAAATGGCACCTGAACACATGTGGTGTGATTTGTCATTTTTGCAGAGCACTTTCGGACCTGCCATGTGAAAGGAGCCTCAGGCCCTATGGGCGTTTTGTATTTTAGGCAGAATTGTCGTAATTTTACCCAAGACACAAAACCCCAAGATGTGAAAGGAACCTGAGCCTCCTTTCACATGGCAGGTCCAATCAGGTCTGTCAGCTTTTTAGGCGGACCTGATCCGACCCTCCATTCATCCCCATGGACAGGCGGATGTAAAAAGACTTGTGTCTGTCCATGTCTGCTCTGCAGAAACTTAGTGGACACGGACCTGTCATCTACCCACTCTGCTCCAATCAGCAGGGGATCTGTGAGCTGATCGCCTGCAAACACCTTCATACCAAGGACCTCTAGACACCCCTAACCTCTGGACACCGCCCTATGTCCTACTGACCTCTGTACACTGCTCTACATACTACTGACCCCTGTACACTGCTCTACATTTTACTGACCTCTATACACTGACTTTTATACTACTACTGACCTCTGTACACTGCCCTACCTACAGTATATTCCCTATTTAACATTGCCACATTATCCACTATGTAAGTCATCTCAGACTCTATTTAACCACATCCCTTTAAGCCACGCCCAATATTTAGCATAATTAAAACCATTGCCCATTTTTAGTATTGATGTTGAGCCACACCCACAATTGAATTCCCCACCCCCAATTAAAATGATACTCCGCCCACACCACCTTTCTGGACAGGACAGGAAAAAAAGCGTCCCTAAAAATTTTTTGGAAATGTTGGCAACTATGCAAAAAGGGAATACGTATCCTCCAGCTAATCACTTCAGTTTTTCTGGCTTGTGGTGCTGAAAAAACACATTCTAATTTAAATATTAGGAAGGTCAAACCTGCTTAGTCTCTCAACTTGCATTGCGGCCTAGGAAAACATTTACATGTTGTATGTGTGTTTGCACAATATTTCTTGTTCTGGACTATGAAACCATTTTTTTAATCTAAATAAAAAAAAAGCATGATCTCTTCCACTGATATAATGGCCAAGTGAAAATGCATGCTTAATGTGCAATAAGTCTCTACAACATTTAGGGCTGGTGTGTTTGGAACATCACATTTTGTTTTTCTTTTCTTGGGAAAAAAAATTACTCATCTCTCTTATATTGCCATCGTGGGTCACAATCAGACTACTTGCAAGCTTTCCAGCTATTGTGTAAAAATGTTTGTTTTTGTCTCTAAAACCTGGCACTTTTTTTTTTTTTTTTTTTCTTTCTGCAGCACAACTCAACTTTGCAATGTGGGTTTGTAGTTTGAAGGTGTTTTGATGCCTTCTGAGTCAAAATTTTGTTCAACATTGTACATAATGGTGTGTGCTACTAAATACAGATCAAAATAAGCTATGCATACAAGCACATTATGACATTATCCTGCAGATGTCCAAATTTTTATTTTTTTGCGGTTTACTACCGCTTTAAGGCTTACTACTGCTACACAAAAATTTGGTTGTTTTGGCAAACATTACAGAGCGCTTTTGTTATAACACCATTAACAGAAAAGTCAATGTGCAAATATTGAGTGACGTTAAAAAAAAAAAAAAAAAATTAAGACCCGCCAGCGATAGCCATGCCTAGGAGGGTTTGAGATACCTGGGTGTCTTGGGCTGTCCTGCTTGGGGGCATCCTGCTCCTGTGTTGTGCCCCTTGACATGTCGGCCTGCAGAGGTGGTGCGGGCGGATGATGTGTGCTGGGTGCCGGTCAGAGGGGAGGTGGTCTCTGCCAGAGTGTGAAGGGGTGGACACCAGGAAACCATGTGGCCACAATGGAGGAGCACTGGGAGGCAGCGGCACTGGCTGGGTAAGAGTGGAGGAGAATCAAAATACTTAGACAAGATATAAGCAGGATCCCGTGGACCCCACAGAGGATGGCCCCCTTAATAGCCTTCAGATTAGCACAACATAGAGAGTTTCATGGAATGAGTTTCCATGGCCGAGCCTTACATCACCAAGTGCAATGCAAAGCATCGGATGCAGTAGCGTAAAGCACGCCGCCATTGAACTCTAGAGCAGTGGAGACGTGTTCTCTGGAGCGACAAATCACATTTCTCTGGCAACTCAATAGATGTGTCTGGGTTTGGTGGTTGCCAGGAGAACAGTATTTGCCTGACTGCATTGTGCCAAGTGTAAGATTTGGCAGAGGGGGAATTATGGTGTGGGGTTGTTTTTCAGGGGTTGGGCTTGGCCCCTTAGTTCCAGTGAGAAGAACTCTTAAGGAGTCAGCATACCAAGACATTTTGAACAATTCCATGCTCCCAACTTTATGGGAAAAGTTTGGGGATGGCCCCTTCCTGTTCCAACATGATTGCACACCAGTGCACAAAGCAAGGTTCATAAAGACATGGATGAGCAAGTTTGGGGTGGAGGAACTTGACTGGCCCCATAGAACACCTTTTGAGATGAATTAGAGTGGAGACTGTGAGCCAGGCCTTTTCGTCCAACATCAGTGCCTGACCTCACAAATGCGCTTCTGGAAGAATGGTCAAACATTCCCATAGAAACACTCCTAAACCTTGTGGACAGCCTTCCCAGAAGAGTTGAAGCTGTTATAGCTGCAATAGGTGGGTCAACTCAATATTGAACCCTATGGACTAAGACTGGGATGCCATTAAAGTTCATGTGTGTAAAGGCAGGCGTCCCAATACTTTTGGCAATATGATATATTTCCAGAATGGGGAATCATGCTGGAGAACATTAATAAACAGATTCAAATATTGACCTATTAATTTATTAAATAACTTGAAATATTGACCAATGTTGGGGAACTTTAAAACAAATCTATTCTCAATGTTCTTACAGTAGATTGGAGCTTGTTTTCCATGCATTTACAATGTAGTTACATGTGTTTACCACGTATTCATATTGATTTGTATTGAGGAAAATAACCAAACACAAACTGATATAAAGTAGGCCTGATCAATCTCAAATGCCCCTTTACCTTAACCCTTATTCTATTATACTTTTCACAAAATATTTTTTAGTCTTACATCATTACGTTGTGAATTGTTGAAAGGATTTGGAGCTGGTGGTCTGGTATTGCCTTCAGAAGGTGGCTTATAGGCTGTAAAAAAAAAAAAAATGTAGATAAAAAGGTTACAAAAAATACTGTTGGTTTATCCTGCTGCTTAAGGCCCTATTCACACCTATGCAGTTTGCTTTTTGTCCATTTTGCAGTGCTTTTCACAGTTTATTCAGCATTTTTCTACATGCGTTTTGAAGTGTTTTTTTACAACGTTTTGCTAAGCTCTTTTTTTTTTTGTTGAAGTGGAATTTTTTTTTTCGTTGCTGGGCAAAATAAAAATGCAAAACGCCACAAAAATGTGGTTCTCCATTGAACTCTATTGTGGCAAAAATGCTGCTTTTGCTTTTAAAAAAGTACCTGACCCTTTCCAAAAACGCAGCAGCTCAAAAAAAGCATAGATGTAAACATGTTCCATAGGAAACCATGTTAAATGGACTGTAGTGCGTTTCTGCAAAAAGCACTAAAAAAGGCATTGGTGTGAACGGAGCCTAAAGTATTACTTCATAGGTCAGTGTTTCTCAAACATTTTTTAGTCAAGGCACCCTTTAACCACTTTCCGCCCGCCATATAGTACAATGATGGGCACAAGGTGGTTCTCTTGTTCTGATAGGACGTCATATGACGTCCTTCCATTCTCACCGCGCATGCGCGGCTCAGGGAGCGCGCAGCGCGGCGATCGTTGGTGCGCTGTGTCCCTCTGACACAGCGGATCACGGAAAGAGCCAAAGATGTTGGCTCGGTCATGTGATCAGCTGTGTCCAATCACAGCTGATCACATGTAAACAGTGAAATGCCGGTTATCGGCATTTCTCTCCTCTCGAGCTGTCACGCTGACAGGAGAGGAGAGCCGGTAATCGGCATTCCGCGGAGGGGACATGTACACTGATCATCAGGGCACTGATTATCAGTGTGCCCTGATGATCAGTGTGGCCCCAGAAGTGCCACCTGTCAGTGTCCATCAGTGCCAGCAGTCAGTGCTCATCAGTGCCACGTGCCAGTGCCCATCAATGCCACATATCAGTGCACATCAATGCCACATATCAGTGCCCATCTGAGCTGCCTTTCAATGTCACCCATCAGTGCCAGTCAGTGCCACCTATCAATGCCAATCAGTGCCACCTATCAGTGCCAGTCAGTGCCGCCTATCAGTGCCAGTCAGTGCCGCCTAACTGCCAGTCAGTGCCGCCTATCAGTGTCATGTATCAGAGCTGTCTTTCAGTGCCCATCAGTGCAGCCTATCAGTGCTTATCAGTGCCCATCACTGCAGCCTCATTAGCGCACATCAGTGAAGAAGATAAATCACTTATTTACAAAATTGTATAACAAAAACTAAGTAAAAAACTTTTTTCCAAATTTTCAGTGGTTTTTGGTTTGTTTAAGAAAAAATAAAAATCCCAGAGGTGATTAAACACCACCAAAAGAAAGCTCTGTCTCAAAAAATGATAAAAATTTCATATGGGTACTGTGTTGCATTACCGCGCAATTGTCATTCAAAGTGTGACAGCGCTGAAAGCTGGAAATTGGCCTGGGCAGGAAGGGGGTATAAGTGCCCGGTAGGCAAGTGGCTAAAATTATGGACAGTCCCAAGGCACCCCATTCTAAAATGTGAAAAAACTGTTCTAATAGTTTTATATAACACAGCAACATCCACACATGTAGGACACAGAGGTGATTTATTCTTCCAAAGCCAATACACTTTTGCACACTGGTACTGAGTAGTATTCCAGTGTTTCTCTTCTCCCTCAGTTTTTCTCCATCACTGAGCTAATGTGACCCCAGCACTGTTGGAGGGGCAGGGGAGGGTCAAACTATGATGCTGTGCAGGCAACTGATATCCTCCTTATCAACTGATGATGTCATTGGTTGTCAGGAATCTGGCAGCTAGAAGGTTGTAATGGTGCACAATGAAAACCTGTGGCTTTGTGTAACTAAAAGGCAGGCTTTTTTCACCCGCTGCCTTGTATACAAGTTTTGGGCAATTTTTAGACATTTTGCCAAGGCACCCCTTAAGAAACCTCAAGGCACCCTGGGGCGCCTGGGCACCCTGGTCGAGAGAGGCTGTCATAGGTAATACAAGCAGATTTTGTTTTTTACATGGAAAAAACATTATATATTTAAGTATGTTATGATGCATTTATGCACCATCGAACATACTATAACTCACAATAACATTTAGTTTTTAAAGTGGTATTAAATTCAGTTTTGTAAATTGTACTGACAGGTAAGGTTTTTATGACAGAAGAGTTTCTTCTATCATAAATGCACCAGCTGCTTGAGAATCCCCACCCCCCCCAAAAAAAACAAAAAAACTTCAAAAATAATTCAATAATTCTAGCACTATAAATCCTGCATAACTCTAAACTGATGACCTATATGGGCTTTGCGTGTATGCTCCCATGAAAAACTTCAGTATCCTATATTTTTTCATAGACAGCACATTAAAAGACCCTACAGGTCATCAGTTTAGTGTTATGCATGGATTCTGATGCTGGAATTTTTACTCTTACCGTGGCATGCGCGGTAATGCACGTGTCTTAGATTGTAGGCTCCAAGGAGCAGGGCCCTCCTAACCCTCTTGTATTGAACTGTATTGTTGCTGTGTTGTCTCCCGTTATATTGTAAAGTGCTGAGCAAACTGTTGGCGCTATATAAATCCTGTATAATAATAATAATGTGTGGGGCAATCGCATGTACCAAAGCACATGCATTTTTGTATGTGTGTGTGTGTGTTTAGGTTGCCTCTAAAAGGTTTTTTATATTTTATATTTTTACTATTTTCATTCTTTATTTTATTTTTTTTATATATAACATTTATTGCTACTGCATTGGGGACCAATAGCCCCCTATGCTATAGCAGATGGGTGACAAGTACTGCTGCAGCACCATTAAAAATCCAAATCCCCAGCTTGTGGTTGAGGATTTGGATTTTACCACCCCCATCCCGGCTCTATAAAGCAGCTGCTTAAGCTGCCTTGTGCTGGCGCCAACCCTGTGTGACAGGCAGACGGAAAACCCTGGCTGCCATTAGCACACAGCGGCAATCAGTGGATGATGTCATGTGGGGGGAGTGATGAGGAGCTCAGATGATCCCAACCAGGGATTTTCCCCACCTTGTGGTTAGGGCTGGCCCAGGGCTCTCTGGCTTTGGCAGTGATGAAGGGGATGATGATGTTGTTGCCCCTTCCCGGACAAGTCTATGGTCAGAAGCAGGGGCCGACTGACCATTTGGAAACTCGGGCACTGCCCGAGGGCCTGGGGTCAGTAGGGGGCCCCATGCGATGCCCCTGGTACCTTTTTTTCATAGGCTTTTTTTGAGTTTGGGCAAGGACACAGGGGCCCCATGATTCCCTATTGCCCGGGGGCCCCACGAGTTGTCAGTCCGCCCCTGGTCAGAAGTATTTACTCACATGATCTCCCTCTTCCTCCTGGTGGATGATGAAGTGTTGGGGATTCCTTGTGTTGATCCTGACTGTCTCCATCCACAATGCCACTTGCCCTGCTCCTCCAATGGCTGCACACAGTCCGGCACCAGCTTCACAGGACCCAGGGAGGGAAGCAGGCAGAGAGCTGACACCGGCACTGCTCAGATCCCAGGGACAGAGGAGGAGAGGAAGTGAAGATGGCTGCTACAGGCCGATTGAATGGCTGCAAGTCTCCTCCTCCTCGGTGTGATTCAGTGTGTGATCACGGCTGCAGAGCGAGGAGGAAACAAAGACAGGCTGGGCTATGACATTCCCGTTCTGCACTACACTCTGCCACCACAGGTGGGCACAGGAGCCACACTCCTCACTGGGGACCACAGACACTGCAGAGAGAATAGCCTGAAACCAGCGGCTGTGGCTGCACCCTAGATGGACATCTGCATGATTCGCATGGGGAACTCCAATAGATTGACAGCCTCAGCTTGTTTCTGTCTGAGTGTGAAGGAGGTGTGACCCTTCCCTCCAATCATCTCTCAGAACTCGCCTCACTGAGCTCTGCAGTGTGTAATTTCAGCTCTGCCCCATGTTTTCTGAAAGCTCAGGCAAGCTGTATACATTCTGGACTTTGAACAGCTCTAGGGAAGAAAGGATTGCAGGATCAGGAAAAGAGGACACTTAAGACAGTGTGATCAGTGAGCAGCAGCAAAAGGAGAAGATGCCAAGGTCCATGTGATCAGTCAGCGGGAGCAGGAGGAGAAAATTCGGGGGCCTTGTGATCAGTGAGTGGGAGCAGAAAGAAAGGACAGTGGGGGTCACGTGATCAGTGAGCAGGAGATCTCAAACAGTTAGAAAAACAATTAGCGCTCGAATAAATTAGGAAGGAAGATTGACAATAAGCTATATAAAATAAAATCCCTAATTTTTCCTGGATTATCCCCATTACATTATTGGATAACATGTCCAACGGGAATGGTAATGCGACTTGGTGTACATCCTGTGCATGTATACATTCCTCAAACAACTGTTCTTGAGTGAATGCTGCTGCGCAGAATGTGAGTTGTTTCCTTTTAAACCCAGATTCTTAATCTAATGAAGCAGAAAATGGCAAAAAAGAGCACTGAGGTTAATACCAAGCAAAAACACCCTTATTCACTCTTTTGCTGCCTACAGCACTGCTTCTAACTGGCCAGATCTGTACGCCGTATGGACCTACATTCCTCTTAAAAACGTGACAATCCCCCCATCACCACCACCGATTCTTTGCCCTGAGTCTCCCGCCCCTCCACCAGCCTATGTTGACAGCTAAAATACCCCCCCACCCCCACTATAACTCTTCCTTATCCTTCCTGCTCTGATTCCCCCCTCCCAGCACCAATCCCTCCCCCCTCGTAAACCCTAATCCCCTTGTGGCCACAGAGGGATCCACTTGCTAAAATAGATGCCCCCCCCTGCTGCTCTGTCCCCCCCTTTAATGCCCTCCCACCTCCCTGATGTCCAGGCATCCCCTCTCTGTAGCTGCTAGCCGGCTCTCCCTCCTCCCCCTCCCGGCGGCTGCGGGTGCTGACAAATCACTGTCTGCATTGAGAGCTGCAAACATACTATATGTTTAAAAGTGTT